TATGGAATCGTCAAATGACTTACATGCTTAGAGCATGTGAAGTACGTATATAATACCAATCGACATTAATCTAAGTATTAGATCATTAGATTATAGTTAAGAACATCCAAAGAACTTAGATAAGTAGTTTGATGAGTTCTTGACGCATGGAAACAGATATAATTTGAGTTTTGATGTTGCAAGCACAAACCTTAACAAGGATTAGATCCTTAGCAAGGAAGCCATTTATAAGCACGAGACAAGAAGTGTCGTGGCTTGAGAATGGTAACATGGATGTGCATCCATGTATAATGTGCGGGAATTTAAGGAAAATTTCCATGATCACAAGTGATTAGGGTATCCCAAATCATTGTGAGTCGCTTGGAGTAAAACCCAAGCAAGGCATCATCGGGGAGTCTACTAAAATATATGTTGAGAATATTGTTGCCTTAAAGGCAATGATAAGATAGATGTTAAATGGAAAGGTTCGTTGTTGAACATTAATGATTGTAGGTTATCAAGTAGAAGGTCTCATATCATGAAAATGAGTGGGAGCCATTTCTTGGACAATAAATCCTGAATCACATGTAATCCATTAACACTCTCAAAATTTTATCATCTTATTATGGAAATAGTGGATAATGAAGATGCTAAGGTTTGCAAAGTAATTTTAACTAAACCTTTGCAATAAGTGAACGACAACATTCATAATTGCATGAAAGAAATCAAACATATCAAATATGGGTATGATTTCTATGAATGTTTTATGAAGAGTATTACTCTTTAAACATTTGGGAAAAACCATTTATCATAAGATGAAACATTGTGAAGTTTCATAGTGGAATAAAATATTTCTAAATATTCCACAAAACTATTTAATTATGGTTTAGAATTAAATAATGAGTCCATTCGATTTTAATAAATATTCAAAATAGGGTATCAAGTCAATGGCTTGGATAAAGAAACACCTATTAACTGAACATTGAATATTTTAATCGAAAATTATCCCTAATCAAGGTCATATTTTATGGACGATTGATGACCATCAGAGATTAGTGTGTAGTATGATTTATAGCATCGTTTCTTGTGCTATGAGGATATAAATCATTTGCACAGGTATTGTTTTAGAACCATACTGGATCGACCTATGAGGATACTTTAAGAGATTTAAAATCGTCATAAGTATTTTCTCATTATTACTATCGGAACTCTTTTCCTTTGACCATGAGTAGTGGGAGACCTCTTGTTTGAGTACTGGTCCGCTTTGGTATCCGCCAAACGTCTGCCGTAATTGGGGATTATAAAGACAGATATTGGGCGGGTGAGTCCTCTTAGTAAGAGAAGCTACACTACAAGACTGGAAATGTCCCCCTACTAACAATAGGGAACATGTCTTGTTGTTTACAAGGCCTCTCGAAGAGCGAGACTGTGAAAAATGCATGGTCGTGCTCAGATGGATTTTAGAAATCATCTGCTTATTAACAGTCAAACTCGGATTTCGAGAAACACTTCTGGACGTAACAGAGATGACTAGTAATCTTACTCTGTAGTTCATGAAGAGACATAGGATAAAGGCTATACACTAAATGCACACTTGTCCGGAAGGACAAGTGGGAGATTGAAAGGAATAGTGTCCTTCGAACAAGTGTATTATTCTGATAGCGGGTTCAGAATTATTAGAAAGCTAATATATTCAGTAAGGTCAAGTGATCGGAATGCCTGGGTGGAGGCCGCTTCCGATCAGTAATATTATTATAATTAATATTACAGCTTCATCTTGACTGAACCCTTCGGGTCACACCCAAGCAAATATATGCGAACCAACTCGATGAATTAATTCGGAAGAAATTAATTCGTCGCCCGAGTGTTAAATAATTAGACATCGGTAATTCGAGCTTAGAGCGTCGAAACCGATCGTCGGAAGTCGAGTCTAAATAATAAAAGACGAGACGCGCAAAATAATAATAAATCAACAATATTCCCGAAAATACCCCTAGCATCGGAGTGCCCCGAGCATCCGAATGCTAGGGGCAAGACGAGTCGGCACACCGTGCTGCAGCCACGGCCAGCCGCGGCTAGGCACAGCAGCAGCCGCGCCGCGCCACGGCAACAGCCGCAACCGCACCATGCCACAGCAGCAGCCGCGCCACAGCAGCAGTAGGTGCGGGCTGGGTGCGGGCCAGGTGCGGGCTGGGTGCGGGTCGGGCTCGGGCTTTGCTCGTGGCTTGGCTCGGGCCATAGGGTCGTGTATAAGGGGAAGGTTGGGAGCAAGTGGGTTGCCATGTGGCACAAGGTGAGGGAGAGAGTGGGGAGCAAGTTTGGTCCCCATCTCCAAGTGGTCCTCACCTACTCTCTCATGTATGCTTGACACTTGTTGATTTATTACTAGTTTGCTTAATAATTTTATTTTATCTTTAAAATAAAATGAGAAAATCTCATTGTCAGCTGCCCGCCTAGAAGAGCCACTCGCTCTCTAGTGGGAATTGGCGGGAAAGGCTCTATCGCCTATGACGAGGTAAGCCTTGAAAATTTTACATTGATGGGAGAGATTTTCATACTCCATCATTCCCTATAAATACCCAACTTTGGGCATAGGAAATGATGCTTGAGTGGGAGTTAAAAAGAGCATTCCATAATATTGGGAAAACTCTTAAACTCATATAACACTCGGGTTTTGGTCGGACTTCGCTAACCCCCAGGTAGTAGACCTTAAAGTTGTGTTCGCCTTTTTGTGGGTGGATACCGTTGGAGGCGCGGCGCTTGACGTGCTCGTAGCTTTCAAGTAAGAGCCCCGGTTTTTGGGCGAAGCTCGCTTCGAGGGTAAGATTCGTTATCTTTTCTTAGTGATTATTTATTTATGCTTTATGATTTTAATTATTGCAAGTGGTTCCTTGGGTCGGGGTTTGTTTCCGCGGTGAGTCGGACTCACCAAACCCCAACAATCCCAACTATCTATGGACTCTCGAGGGAGATCAGTGTACCAATCGAACGCAATTCCCTTAAGGGAACGAACGAATTGTTTGACACGCAAGTCTCCTGTTGTTCCAGCGTTGTTGCATGCCTCAATAAAATGAGCAATGTGCTGCTTGGGGTTGCCTTTCCCATTAAATTGCTGGAATTTTGGGGTTGATAGCCTTTAAGCATCTTCAATTTGCTGATCCTCCTGCTATATGGTTTCTCGTAAAGCTTCTTGTCGCGAGAACCTTCTCCCAGTTGGTTCTTGATAGCGTTTGCTATCATATCCTGGATCTTGTGGATGATGAATATGGACTCGCTTTTAGCATTTGATTTAGAACTCTCTCCCTCGGAGTCTACTTCTTCCTCTTCTGAATCGCTTGCTCCCTTTTGACGTTTTTCAAGCTTTTTGTTTAAAGTAGAGATCTTCTCATTTTGTTGCTTGATCTGCTCGTCTTTTTCTTCTCCATCCTTCATTAACTTTTGAAGGAGGCCCTTCAATTCGACAAGTTATTCCTCGACGGTCTTGGATTCAATTACCATAACTGCGGCAATAGTTGTTTGTGATGATTGAGAAAAATCAATCATATTAGAAGTTCGTCGTGGAGTTGAAGGAGATGAGGCACAACTACTTCCTTGATCTCCTTTGTCGAAGGCATCAAAAAGAGGGCTGGTGTGGATAACCAACTTCTCAGATCTGGCAGGTGGAGTCCCCTCTAAGTCGTGTGTAGAGGCGGAAGGTTCACCTTCAGGAGGAGGGAATAAGCCGAACACCGGAATCTCATGAGAAGTGCAGAAAAGGCTTGGTGGAAGCGACAGATTTGAGGAGGAACGTCCACGAGATCTCGTGCTTGGCTTAGTAGGGACGATAGCAGTTCGAAGTCTCGCGACAACTTCTTGAAATTCGGCCCTCCTCTTCATTCCTCTAGTGCGCAAGCCGTCGTCCTTGAACAGTGCAGCCAACTCCGCAGCCCTTTGCTGGGCGAAGGAGAAATCCTTGGCGGCGGATTGAGAGATGTTCCCACCGAGCGTACCAAAAATTTGTAAACACAAATTTTGAGTCTGCGAAATAGTCAAAATAAATGCAACAAATATAATTTTTATTAATATAACAAATTTGAGTACAATCTCTAATGTAATCCACTTATTCGATCTCCACGTTACGTCGTTAGATGACTCGATTTGTTGTAGTCGAAACTGGAATTCCTTGATAGAGGGGCAAAAAGGCTTGATCTCAATCAAGGTTGGTCTTCTAGAATGGAACAACACGTCCGGTGCTTGTTGTTCTTCTTCTAGTTCTTGAGATTGGTTTTTACTTTTTAGAGAAGTTTAAAGAGGTTTTTTTAGTAGAGAGGTTATTCTGTAGAGAGATTTTTCTCTGGATTTTTCATGTGCGTGGAATGAGGGAGGAGAGTTCTATTTATAGAGTTCTCCTAAGCTAGGGTTTCAAGATGATCACTAAATGGGCCTCATATCCATGTCCACCTCCTTTCACAAATGACCCATTTAAATTAAATCAAATCCATTTTGTTGGACTTTATTATTAATTAAATGAGTTTAACTAAAATAAATAATACGAGCTAAAGTAACCCATATTAATTATATAGTCAATATATACGAGTCAATCGTTTGACTTTGACCCAAACAATATGTAACGACACCTAATAAAATTTCCGTGCCTACACAGCCATTAGTCACTAATGGCACTCGGTAAATTTTTAAAAAACTGGGTGGCATTTGGTGAATTCAAAAAATTTGGCATTTGGTGAATTTTAAAGTGTTTAGTGACAATAGGTGAAATAGCCAGAAAAAAAAAACGAAAAAAAAAAAAAAAAAAAAACCCCGAGCAACAAAACGAAAAAAAAAACGTGCTTTTAACTTCTCCATTGAAGCAGTTTATGAGCTTTCTCACCTCCTTTGAAGCGGAGGTATTCTTTCTATATAAATTTTAATATTATAAAATATCAATTTCACAATCTAGGGTTTAGTTACACACTATCTTAATTTTCATTGTCAGTAAAGTCAATCTAGGGTTCATCTTAGGTTGGTTATTGAACTGTTAGTTATAATTACTGTAATTTATGAAAGTTTATAACTATAGAATTTGTTGCTAGAGTTTTGCTATGTGCAGTTTACGTCGATATTCTTAAACGAGAAGAATGTTATGTGATCTTTCGATACTGAATTAATAATTTGTGTCAAATTTGGTTGGTAATGTTTTGCATATTTCGGACCTGAACTGGTAAGTGTTTCAAATTTGATTGCTTATGTATTGCATATTACAAGTGTAAGTTTATAATTCAGTCAAATTTGGATGCTAATGAGTTGCATTTTTCGAGTCTAAATTAATTGCGTTAAATTTGGATGAAAATGTGTTGCTTTCTTCGAGCCTAAATTGTTAATTGAGTCAACTTTGTTGATAATATGTGTTGCATTTTTCGAGCCTAAATTGATAATTGAGTCAAATTTGTTGATAATGTGTTGCATTTTAGCATCGAGCCCATTGGAGACGGAGCTAAGATTAGGCTTTGAGATTCGTCGTGCTTCATGAAGCACAATGATCCCGCAGGATTCTATTAAGCTTTAGTGGAGCCTGAATATTGGACCTAATGAATCTACTTAGTTTTGGTTCCCACCCCTGTCACCCATTCATAGGGACGGCCCTGCTATGAAAGATTTTCAACTTCTTTTCTATTGATCATAAATGAAACCAACTTCTGAATTACTAAATGATCATCTATCAGGTCTAGTCATGTATGTGGTGCTCAATGATGCTTCTTAAATCTCATGTGTGTACAAATGCTTTGACTATAATGTGACGTCGTGATTTTTAATGGTTTGAGTTGGTTTACACCATGAAAATAGACTGTATCAATTAAGAAAATAATCTCTTGTATATGTCTTGCAGTTTTCATTCTGCTGAAGAATTTGGGATTATACTTTGACCATCCTACACATGGCATCATCTGTGGTGAGTTCGGGGGCCTTGGTTGTATTGGAAGAGCTGAATTCGTCTTCTCCACAATTTCAAAATGGGGCATCACTTCGCGTTACTGGAAAGTTAGTTTTTCTCCTCCCATTAGCTGTGCAGTATGCGTAGTGAGAGTTAGTATGCTTAGGTTTTTATGCTATAGCCAAGATCATGTTTATTGTCGAAGACAAAAAAAAAATGTGGACATGCACCTATAATTTAACCACAGTCACTATGTGCTAGCTCATGCATAGATAAATGGAAGCATACTCTCAGTTATGATAAAATTTAACACCAGAATTTTTTGTGAAATGCAGAGCACACTGCCTTATCTTATTCTCTTCTTCAGCCTGCTTTTAGTTGTACAATGTGTTGAAGACGCAAGTAGATAATCAAATTAATCAGGCAGTCCTTGATGAATAATATCAATCAGGGTCTGGCTTACTGTCTCTCCCATTTCTCCATGATCATTATGATTTTCTTTAATTCTTACACTTGACATAAGGTTTTATTCTATTATTTTGTTTATCTTATTGTGATCTCAACTTATTACTGCTTCTTTTGATGTTATCTGATGAAAGTCTTGGAGTCAAGTTTATGTGCATTCTACAGTTGATAGAATGTACTTTCTTGTTTCAGATCGTGTTGTCTAGTAAACTGGATATTGTAACACTTTATAATGTATCGGGAGTACCAGATGGATCTTTAACTTTGATTGGTGTTGTGTGTTAGGCTATTGGATTATACTGTGGAGACTGCTGTGGCAGTTATTGCTGATGGAAATGCAACACTGAAGATTGACACAAAGCATTTGAAGATAAATTATCGAGTGGGTTCCATCTACCAGTTTATCGGAGAACTATTCTTTGAATCAGAGAATCAGGTAAACTTAAATTGTGTGATAATCTTTGGATCGATTAAGGGAATATTCATGGTAACAAAATATAATTTTTTTTGGTAGCCGATACTGAAGGCACGAGTTGGCAGGAATGTTGATGGCATGGACCTCAATCTTTATCGTCAGTCCCTCCGGCTCTTGAAAGAGTTTCAGGCTGAACAAACTCATAATTACAGATTTAACTGACAGCTCCCAACTTTTGAGTCTTGAGTTGTTTTTATTCCTTTTACTCTTGTACAAAGATGATAATAGGTGCTTGCATTTGACACCTGAGGAGTGAGGGGCTAAGTGGCCGAGGATGTGTGATTGAGGCCATTGAGCTAACTTGGTAGAATTAGCTAAAGCTATGTAGGGGTGTTCAAATTTGGCCGAAAGGCCAATTAAATGCTCGTTTTGTTCTGGTGTTCTCGTCCAATGATAATGATGATCCTTCAATTTCTTAAGAACGCCGTTCATTATGTCGTCCATGACTTTTGTCCAAAATCCACATTGTACGCCATATTGTTGCGCCCTGTGAACTGCTGCATGAAATGCTAAGAATTCTGGTAAACCTTTTTCTTGGCCTTAGTATATAAAATTGCAGAAAACCTTTTCATCTGTTCTAATTCTCATAAGGATTACTTTTTTTTTTTTTTTTTTTTTTTTTGAGAAAAAGATTGCTTCTATTCTGATAATGGTTAACAAATGGTAAAGCTTTGCCCAAATAATAAAAAAATAAAAAAATTGATGATGCTGTATAGGGTTCATTAATGCAAAATAGTAAGCGGTCCTTGATAGATAAGGGTGCATTTTTATTTGCTTTTGTATATGACTTGTACAAATAAAAAGGCATATAACAAGTCAGGTTAGTTGGTAAGAACATGCTGGTGTTGGGTCTAAATATAAGTTGAGTTAACTGGGTTGCAGATAGGAACGGATGGAGTAAAATTGAGTCAAGATTTAAACAAGTTGGGCTGCTCAGGTTAATTAGGTAGAGGTTGCCCAGGTTGGAACGAATGTTCATAAACAAGTTGGGTTGATCAAATAGTGGGCTCAAAAGAGTTAGGTCATAATCGAGTCAAGTCATAAACATGTTGGATTTATCAGATCATACACGATATTGGTTGACCATAGGGGTGAGCAAATTCCAGGTATCTAGAATTGAAACCAAATCCAGTTAGGAATCGGCGGATTCGAAGTCGAAATTGGACCTAGTGCTTCCAATTCCAGGTATTAAATTAATAAATCGGTTGCAACCAGTTCCTTCCAATTCCAATTCTTAATTTTTTGGAACTAGAGTCGGTTGGGTACTCGGTTACCCAACATAAAAAAAATGTTGAATGTACTACAAATTATTAATCTCTAACATAAATAAATTAGCTTAATGCATACATTTTTTATTTTTTTTTGATAACAAACAAAGCTTAGATTAATTAAGAGATAAAGCGTCTGACATTACATAAGGAGCAACAACATCGGGACAATGATTTTCTCACACTTGTTCCTCACCAAAGGGTATTGTTATTTAGATGAAATACTACAAGAGGGGGGTGAATTGTAGTATGGAGATTGCTAGTCACTTTTTGCGGAATTAAAAGAAACTTAACGCAATAGAGAAATAGTGCAAGAGAGATTTTACGAGGAAAACTTCCTAGGCCAAATAGGAAGTGAAAAACCTCGACCCAAAGGGATTTTGACTCAAAACATTCCACTAAAATAGGTCAACGACTCTGTTACAACCTATGAGGAACTTGAGCCTCTACCGAGTTCCTCAACGAACTCATATCCCCAACAACTATTCCCTCTAATAGTTGCAGCTTGAAATCTTCCCTCAAAGACCTCTCTTCTCACTCAAGACTTCACTCAAAACCTTACTCTTTCTCTTTCTCTCAAGCTTCACTCAAAGCCTTCTCTACATACAAAGAACTCACTCAAGTTCTCACCCTAATACAAGAGTTCACTCAAACCCTTATTAATTCCCCATTACAAGAGTTCACTCAAACCCTTAAACAACTCTCAAATACATATAAAAGATATAATGTATAAAACTAATATGTTGAACACTCAAGATCTGTCTGGAACTCACTAGACGTACTGTAACCAAAAACCTGATAGGAACTTTGACCAGGAGGACTGACTTAGCTTCGTGGTGAAGGATAAAACCATTAAGCACGACCACTACACTTCGTCAGCCTCAACTTTGAATGAATACATATGAGCATATTTATAGTACACTCGAAATATTCATTTCATCTTGAAAAAGATAGATTTTCTGAAAAGATAAGTTTAAAAGATATATTCTAAAAATCAGTTTTCCGAAAATATATCTTTTTGTTAAGAATAAAAACTGTCAATAATAATAAGATAAACTTAGCATAAAATCAGATTTTATTCAAAACTTATCTTTTTGTTTAAAATACTTTTTAAACAATCTTATCTTTTTCCAAAAGGGATTTATTAGAAGATAAATATCTTTATTCAGTAAAACCAAATCCCTAAAAGATATGCACGTATAAGGTAAATATATATATCATTAAAACCGACTTTTAACGACGTTCATACTTAAGTTCCTATTAGGTTCCTGAACTCTGACAGTCTCTGAGTTCCTGACAAGTCAGTTACTCTAATTTCATTGACTGTTTGGAATTCACCTTGGTTCTATATAGACTTGTTCCAGACCGACTTTTATGTCCAACATACTTACATGAATCCTAGAGCAATATACTTCTATTTCTCTGTCTTCATGTTGCTTCTCTGAAACTCTTGTTCTGGAATCCTGTAGTCTTGATATATTCTGGATCTTAGGGTTTTCCCCAGCGTTACACCGAAACCAGGTCGTTACAACCCGTTTTGAAGTTCCTGTTAAGAAACTTCTGGAAGTTCCATTTCTGGAACTCTTCTTCTAAATTTACTTGTATCCTCATGGATCCTCTAAAGTTCCTCTGTTTCAATTCCTACTTCAGCCCTCAACGCTTACTGAACCTGCAAACATCACAACACTAGAAAATCCTTATTAAATGGAAGTTTGCTCAATTCTTAACATCATCATCAAAACCTCATAAGGGTTAATAAGTTGCCCCTTTTTAATGATGACAAACTGAGCAAACTTCTGAGGATAACAAAGTAACTCAGAAGGTTAGTTTTTTCATTTATAAAAACAGTAAAGAAAACCAAACTAAATTAAAAGACTCCTACACATACATGACCTATATATGTACAGGATACTTACCTTATGAAGCTAACATATGCAAACACATGTTTACATAGTTACCTTCATGGTTCCTTAGCCATCATCATGCTTATCAACCATAACATTTATCGTTGTTCTTGTTCCTCTATTGCTTATCCTATATTGCTCAAGTTCCTTACATATATACCTATCATTACTTAGGTTCCTTGTATCCTGTTCCAAGCATAACTTGCTCTTTCTATGCACAACTTAACATACACGTTAGATAGATAATCATCATTAGTTTATAATCATCAAAACCTAATTTCTCAACAATTTCCCCCTTTTTGATGATGACAAACTATTGATGCTCATCACATATTAAAGGATAATCGTTGTACATTTATTCCCCCTTAGTTTTTCAAGGAAATAACATTTAAACAAGTTAAGAACATACACAAGAACTTAATACACATCATTTATCAATATATAAATACTTTCAACAATCATGATGTAATAACTTTAGACTTAATTACTGCATACCATAAGCATCATACATATTCTTCCCCCTTTTGTCATTATCAAAAAGGGTATTGTTCCACACGTTTGTTTTTCGTAAATTATATGCATTAAAGTCATATGTCACACCTACCACCATATAATAAGTAAGTATATACTAGTTAAACACTTGTTGTTCCTAAAAGCCTCAAGGTACTCACTTTTCAAACACGGATACCATTTCCACACTAACTTCCAACTCACAATCCAAAGGCCCAACTTCAAAACCCTTAATTGAACTTGACAAATAAGAAGTTAAAATTCAAGTAAAGATCAGAGCTAAAAAGTTAGAAATGGATTGCATGAATAGACCAATTAAAGCGCAAGCTTAAAGGATATATAAAGAAGCATATGGAACAAAATAAGTAGAGGGAACGTGAAGTGGAATTTGTGCTCTTCGTTTAAACCTTTTGAGATGAGAACCGCCACATTGTACTTTATCTCAAACTCTTGAATCTCCTATTGAACACAACACATATTCATCTTGCCAATTGATAACCAAGTTCCCTTACCTTAACCACCAACTTCTTTGAGGAACATTCTCCATACTGGAACTTAAATAGATTTCAGTTTCATCATAATCAAGTTCCTTCGTCGTTTATTATTGTTCCTTCACTAGCTCACCAAGTATACGAGTACACGACATCAACATAGTCAACATTCTTCATATATAGATACCCAGGAAATTAAATATTTGACCACCCTTTTTCCTTTTCTTTCTCTTTTTTTTCAAAGGGTGTCATTACACAAATTTTGCATGATTTCCTAGTATAACACATTTTAAATTAATGAAGAGAATATTTACTCATACACTTGAGTTCCACAACCAGATCTGAACCATTTTGAATTCTTGGTTCCTACCTTATTCCCCCTGAGTCCCTTACCATTCTTCTTCCTTTTCAAGTACTTACTTCTTTCTTTTTCTTCAACTTCCCCCTCAACATGTAATCACCCTTTTTCACGTTTCATTGAACCATAAAAAGATGGTGAACAAACTTAGAGCACATGGGAATTAAGAATAAAAAGTAAAAGTGTGTGAACGGAAAGAGGAAATTGAATTGGGTTAATAAGAATCTTCGATTTTCTAAATATGGGACAATTAAAGTATATGCAACACGGACACACAACTTAGAGTTGTAGAATAATGTTGCGATCGAAGATATATGGCGTAGATGCTTGAAAGTTGGCTAAAAGATAGGTTAGTTCCCTCTGAAATTTAAACAAGTGAGTTACAAACGGTCTGGGAACTTACCTGTCTTGTTCCATCAAAGTTTCTTCCATTGTTCCTTTGACAACTTAGGAACTTCGTGTTTGACAGCACCCATAGTTCTATTATGAGACCTCTAATACTCTTAGGCAAGTGAGTATGTCTTTTACAACACAAGAACTAAGTGTGACACATAAAAAATAAGCGCATATTCTTTACTTTAAGTATAACATAGGAACCCCAGCTTGACATAACTTATGGGAAAAAATACTTTATACTCGTGTTATGTTTCATCAAGTCTTGTTCCATTAAGCAATAAACAAGAATATGACAAATCAAGACAAGACCATAAGAGAATCAATTCACAAATTCACATATTGCATTCATACCAAAAAAATATCAATTCAATTCATCTAATGCCGACATGTGAAAAGGAACTTATATCTTATGTAGTCTCTTACCAGTAAAAATATAACTTTAAAGCATTGGTTGAGTATGATGGCTTACCTTGGAGTTCTTGAAGTGGTTGTTATGTTCCTTGATGATCTCGAATCTAATATGAACTTCCACTTCTAACTCAAGTTCCATTGTCAGTGGTTAATCTTACAAATATATTTTCTTATCATAAATTAGCAAAAACCAATTCACAATGGCTCGTTAGTAGTACCAGAGATATATCAATGTAAACAAGTACTAATAATAACTCAGTTAATCTTGAAAACAAAAATTGATACTTTTAAAACTCAATTTTCAAG